AATATTTAGGATAAACAAAAAGCAACTTCTGGTACAGAAGCCTTGCAGCCAGTAACTATTCACCTTAGAGGTAATTAACAAGATCTGAGTCACCCAAGGACTGATACTAAATACTGAACTCAGTCTGGCACGGCTGTGCCACAATCCTTAGTCAGTGCCAAATCTAATTTATGGTCAAGCCGTAACAATACTATTCAGTTATAATCATTCAAAACTTCAGGTTTACATGAGATGAATATGCAAACAAATACAATTTCAGAACTAGTCGACTTATCTGGCTAGAAGAAACTCATCATTTGAGATTTTTCTTGACAACTTAATGAGCCTTCAATAGAAATCCCAAATCTTTAAATTAAACAAAGTACATCAGTGAAATGTTAAGTCAGGTTTCCTGGAGCACACTTGTTTTGACAAGTGGACTAGTTCATGCATTTATTACATCAAGACTGGATTACTGTAATTCATTACTCTCAGGAAGTCCACAGAATGTAGTTAAAAGTCTTCAGCTTGTCCAAAATGCTGCAGCTAGAGTTCTGATGAGAATTAAAAAGAGATATCATATCTCTCCTGTCTTAGCTTCCCTACATTGGCTACCTGTTAAATTCAGAATAGATTTTAAGATCCTCCTTCTCACATATAAAGCTCTTAACAATCAAGCTCCATCATATCATACATCAGTGATCTGATTGTTCCATACGTTCCTAACCGAGCACTTCGCTCTCAGACTACAGGTCTACTGGTGGTTCCCAGAATATCTAAAATTAGGATGGGAGGCAGATCTTTTAGTTATCAGGCTCCTCTCCTGTGGAACCAGCTCCCAGCCTTAGTCCGTGAGGCAGACACTTTGTCTACATTTAAGAATAGGCTTAAAACATTTTTATTTGATAGGGCCTATGGTTAAAATCTGATGTTAGACTAAATCAGGACAAGTGGGGGAGTAGAGGGAGGTGGAGTGTACAGTCGGTAAAGACGGCTCTCCCTTGCCCTGCCTCCAACATGCCTCCATCTAAATAGGATAGATTATCCAGCGTTATCTCTGTAGTTATGCTGCTATAGGCTTAGACTGCTGGAGGACACACTGACCACTTTTCACACTCTACTACTTTCTTCTACAATCTGCTCTTTAACTGTATTATTTTCTGCAATTTCAGCTGTTAACTTTAATTTCTCTCTAAGTGTTTTTCTCCCCAGAAGAAGCTACAACGATGTTCTGCTGAGCTGTGGTGGCCTCATGGAGGGGGCTATTGTCTAGCACACTGCTGCTAACCACTTAAACATTCTCCCTCTCCTGATAATAACTTTTTGCTTTCCTTGACGTTGGACGTGTTACTGCTAGTTTACCCATTTAATTAGAGATCCACTAGGATAAATACAATAAAGTTGATCTCACCAAACAGAATATTTACTAAGACATCACAATAGAACTATAGACACATTATTGTGTGTGTGTGTGTGTGTGTGTGTGCGTGCGTGCGTGCGTGTGTGTGTGTGTGTGTGTTTGTGTGCTCTGTCTTCTCGATCCCCAGTGAGCCGTGGAGGATGGCTGCTTATACTGAGCCAGGACTCTCTGGAGGTTTCTTCCTGTTAAAAGGGAGTTTTCCTCTCCACTGTCGCTGCATGCTTGCTTAGTATGAGGATTGCTGTAAAGACTCTGACACTAGTCAGTGACTTGATGCAATTTGCTGGGTTCCTTATATAGGAAACATTATTTCTGATTGGCTTAATGAACTGTGAATTGGAATGTTTATTATGTGAAATGCCTTGAGACGACTCTTGTCGTGATTTGGCGCTATATAAATAAAATTGAACTGAATTGAATTGAAGTGTTGCTGTGGAGTTGGTGAAGAACAGCACAGGCTTCTGCCTCTAGCTGAAAGTTGCTTTCAGCCTAAGGAATGAAACTTTGTTATGTCTACAGACTCTAAGGTCTTTGGGAATCACCTGGATGGCGCAAAAATAAAAACTTAGTCGGAACGGAAGCCATTCTTGGAATCGCTTTAAACATTTAAGCAAAAGAAATTGGAATGTGACAGGCTGACCACTTTAGAAGACAAGAACATCTGGAGCTATAAACAACAACTTTTACCTCCCTTCAGGTGTCTATTTAGTCCCACCTTCTGCATCTTCTACCTTCACACCAACTAACTTCATGTCCCCTTTCATCACATCCATTAATCTTGTTGTAGGTCTTCCTCTCAACCTGCTGTCTGGTGGCTCCAACCTCAGCATTCTTCTACCAATGTAATCGATGTCTCTCCTCTGGACATGTCCAAACCATCTCAGTCTGGACTTAACATGAGCTGTCCCTCAGATGGTCTCATTGCTGATCCTATCCATCGTCATCACCCATAAAGAAAAGCTCAGCATTTGCATCTCTGCTACCTCCAGTTCTGCCTCCTGTCTCCTCAGTGCTGCTGTTTCTAGAGCAAGGTCTCATGTCATTAGTAGTGGCCGACCGATATATCGGGCCGATATAGTCAAATTTTCCTATATCGGCAGAAATTAATTTTAAGAGCCAAAAAAAAAATTTTTTAAATTAATTAATTAGGCACCGGTGTGGCCAACCACTACTAGACTAAGAAAGGACCCAAAGGACACATTGTTTTGAGTTTGTTTTATATTTGAAGTTTAATAAATATTAAGAAATGTATTGACTTACTTAATTTCTATTGCACACAGTGAGTGTTCAGTTGTCTTTCACAATCAATGTGCTGCTAAAATGTACATATGTCAGCCTTAATAATCGGCTTTAGATATCGGCCATTGGCAACAAAATTCTTTAAAAACCGGTATCGGCATTGGACTTAAAAAAAAACATATCGGTCGGCCTCTACATTTTTGCACCTGACTTGATTAAGACCCTGTACACTAGCAGCCAGGGATAGCCACACAGCAAGGATATTTTCTACGGTTTGGCCTGTCCTCCTCACAACAGTGAAGATAAATGGCACAAAAATGATTCTTTCAAAAAACTCAGACAAAAGTGAAGATTTGCGAAATCCCCGTTGTCAGCATTTGCTTGTGAACATAAATATATTTCGTATTGTCACTGCCCATGACAAAAATGCTCTGACATGATGAAATCACGGGTGACCTGTGTTTACAATCACTTGTTTTTAGAAACTCAAATACTGCTCTATGTAGAAGAGCACACGTGAAGGACGATTGATGACCGATATTGGCTTCCACCTACTTATTCCAAAAAATGTTTTTTGGCAAAGACGCCAACAATCTGGGGAACTACTCCCACCTACAGGCTTGGCATGCTTGTGAATGTGCTTCACAATGCATTAGATTCGTTTATTTTATTTTTATTTTTTTCTGAAAACAAGACAGTGCTTACCACAGTACTTTTCCTAGATGGACAGTGGAGGATATTGGATTTTACAAAACATGACTACACATGGATTAAATATAGTGTAAGCGATCAGGTTTAGTGTTACCGCTAATAGTTTGTTTACTTGTTAGCATGTTAGCATAACCAGAACTTTGTTTTTCAACATTGTAAATGTAGTAGGCCTGACCATCAATTGAAATTAGCCTAATTTAAATGCATTAAAATATGACAGCCTGATGATTTATTTTTTTTACATGTATTACACTAAGTTAATGTTTCCTTTCTCTTGTGGGCAATTTCAAAGAAACATTTTACAAACACGGGAAAAACTGCAAAAGCTTTGCATAATTCTAAACAGGCAAGAGTAATTTTCTTGCAGAGCTAGTTTTCTTTTTTCTTATCTATGATAAGAGTGTGATAACCTAAAATGTTTACAATGGAAGTAGATTTTGTGTCTCTACTTATTATTTTTAGTAAGAAAGTGAATAAAGTTTATTCGTAGAACCATAAATCTTGCAGAATGTTGCTCTAGACCATGTAGCTGCGCTGTTACCTTTTATCACACCTCACATCTCGTACCATGAACTATAACCTAAAGAAAAAAGAGCATCTCTTAAGACTTTAGTACAAGGCTTGGATTGTGTTGACTCATTAGATCACAAAGTGTTTTTACCTCAGTTCATCCTAAATTAGGATTTCCTTTAGCGTTTTGATTTATTGTGTTTATTTGTGATCTTCAGTTATTTGTTTATAATAAGCTGGTCCAGTTTGTTCCATGTCTCTTACTTGCTGTTGATATAGTAATAAAATATTTTAATGGGAATTTGAAATTTTCTGCAGAAAATGTACTTTTTTCCCTAGATGCAATAACCAATAATACATTTTAGACATCTTTCTGATGTCATGATTTTTTTGTTTCTTTTTGGTCTTGTCTCTTTGGCTGGTGCTTCTTTGAATTAGCTAAACCTCTTGATCATGACGCATGTTGCACATGATGAAATATTTAATGTCTGCGCATTTTTACAGTAAAATATATCCTTAAACTAAATAATTTACAGAAAGCATTTCTTTACAAAGAAACTAAAGAAATCTGTAGGATACTTTGCTTTTTAACAACAGACACTGTAAATGCATTAATTTAATTTAGAGGTAGAAAACATATACAACACTTCTCCTTTTCAAACAAAATCTTTTGCTATTGTGCATATTTCTGCAATTCTAAATTGTTTTTTATGGTTGTTTTATGCTTGCTGATCTGCCTATTTGTTGTAATTCAATCTCTTATTTTTATTTTAAATACATAAATTCTCCTAAAATACATTTTTATGATTTAGTCTCACTCCCAGTTAGGGTCATGTTTCTTGTCTTTTTGACGAATGTGGTGCTTTAATGAAATTCAAAGCTAATATTTTAAGTCAGTTCCTGAATTTAGCACAAACTAAATACTTTGCAATTTAACAATGCAAAACATGTTTTTGTTTATAAATAAACCTTGCTATCTCCTTGACTTTTAGTCTGTGGCTGCAAACTAGTTTTTTGTTTTGCTGATTCGGCAGAAAAAGTCCTTAAAGGAGAAGAAGGTATTATGTAAGCAAATCCCATTCTTAGCTCTTCAGGTTAGTTGGCAGGCTGACAGTGGTGTGCAGAGAAGAACTCAAAATACCTGCAAAGATCTGGACTTGGTAAAGGGAGAGGCGCATGCACCCAGTAACTGCTGCTCGTTAATGCCAACCTCTTGCATGTAGGTCTCCAACAGCTTCTCCACCTACAACAGTAAAGCAGCTTTCAGCAGCCCAGTCTTGACTAATACGCTGTTTTGAAATCAGAAATGTTGAGGCCTTGCACTAAAAAATTGCTAAGTTGAAAAAAGTGTGCAGCTTACTCACCAATTTCTTATACTGCTCGTGGATTTCTGTATATGACAACTTATTTTCATCTTCATCATCAAAAACTGAAACATTAAAAAGTAACTTTTTTTTGTCTACAGAAGAGACAGATTATTTGCACCACATGTTGATCAAATGTTAATTAATGTCAAGTATCAAAATCAGTCACAAACACAGCGAACAAACGAGACGCGGCCGTTAAACGTGTAGAAACAACAGCATTAACAGTTAGCGTTAGCTTAGCCGCCCTGTTCATTCAGCAGCTGTGACTGAGACAAAAGCTCGTCTCACCTGTGCATTTGTTTTCCATGAAGTCCGTGACAGGAGTGACCCATTCGGGACTTCCCAGGTAGCCCACGAGACTCTCTACTATCCACTCGCTGTCGTCCTCAGCCATGTTGGCCGACCAACGAAGGCTAACAACAACAGACCTAGCCACACAACGGCGGAGACGTTCCTCAGGTCCAGCTCCGCAAAGACGCGGTTAAACGGGGAAAAACGAGAGGTGGACCGTCCCTCATAAACATGTCCTCATGTGTCCACCGCGGGTGCCTCTTTGTCTGATGTGGGACCTGAAATCTCTTCGAAGAGAAACGCGTAGTCATGAATTTGAAAGTCGAGCAGTGACGCCAAATCGGTTGCTGTGGGAACCATTACGTAAGGTCCAGGTTAGTCTCAAGGGTCACAGGTCACGTGGGCGTGACTTGTTCCATATCTGGGCAATAATACTCCTCCATGACTGAAACGTTCAAATTTAAAGTACAAAATCTTCGCAAGTTGTAAAAATATAAATCTGTCTTTACCTGAACCGTCATTTCCATCTCTTGCAACACGCATGCGAGTTCTCGTCTTCGTACATGCACGCGTGTTTTGTACATAGGGGCGTGTTTGGCCGGGGGCGTGTTTGGCCGGGGCTGCAGACGCACAAGAATGCAGACTAAATTCTTCAAAAATGTAAATTTAATAGAGCAAACAACAGCCAACACAGGAATAAAAAAATAAAGTACAAACAAATGAACCAAAAAGCACCCACAAAAAAGAACAATGTAAGGAGGACACAGAATGCAAAAACTGAGTTTGACACCGCTGTACTATGGCAAAGCCAGAAAACACCTTCATCCTCCATTTGTCCACAATTTCTTTGCAGAACTCCTCAAAGTCTGATTGAAAACTAAACATGAACAGGAACGGTTCCCTGCAATCATTCATCTCCTCTTCATCCAGGCCATCACAGGAGCATTCAATTCACAATACTTTATTAATCCCAGAGGGAAATTGATTGCTGTAGTAGCTCATAATAATAATAATAATCAAGTCAAAGAGTTGTTGTATATTACAATGGCTGTTGGCAGGAAGGATCTCCAGTAGCGGTCAGTGTTGCAGCGAAACTGAAGAAGCCTCTGACTGAAGACACTCTTCCGTTGTCGGACAGTCTTGTGAAGAGAACGCTCAGAGTTGTCCATCATTTTCTTGATTCTCTGGAGAATCCTTCTTTGCATTATCTCCTCCAGTGGTTCCACAGTCGTCCCCAGAACAGAACCCGCCTTTTTTGTTAAGCCTTTTCAGGTCCCTGCTTCTGATGCTTCTACCCCAACAGATGATGGCGGAAGAGATTACACTCTCAACAACGGACTTGTAGAAGATCTGCAGCATCTTGCTACAGACATTGAAGGACCAAGCGTCCTCAAGAAGTGCAGTCTGCTGTGTCCCTTCTTGTAAACGGCTTCGCATAACCTCTCCACTGCCCTCCGGCAAGCTTCCCTGTCCATGGTGATGACCTGGGGAAGGGAAATGTTTCCTTTGAAGGACCTTGTGGTACACCACCTTGCTGCCTCAAAGGTGTCCTCAAGCAGAGAATTCTCCTAATCAAAAATAGACAATATCAAAATTACTGCTGTCATGAGATTAAAAACATATTTTACATTAATCATGTGTGATCTGTAATTAATCTGTAATTAATTTTCCCTGCTTAAGCACAGCTGATTTCAATTGATGGCTGATGAACAAGCTTTTGCTTCACTGCAATCATCTCAATACGGTCTGCTATATCACAGAAACTCCAAAAACATGCAGGGCAGTGTGCCTTGAGGACCAGGGTTGAAAAACACTCCTCTAATTATTACGTTATGAATGGCACCTTTTTAAGTCACATCATTTACTAATTAATTGCTAGTTAGGAAAATTGGCTTTACACCATTCTTTCCTTATTCTATATTTAGCATGTAACAACGATTAAAAAACAAAACCAACATTTTCCCTATGTAATGTATAGTATTTCTCCCTCAACAGTAGATTATGCCAGATATTAATATTGTTCTAAAACTTGATAATGGAGCTTTAAGTCAAGGTTTATTTAATTACACATATCAGATTAGCACTCTAACCATAATAATAAAGCCCATCAGGTGTATAACCCAGATACGAACATAAAAAGCTTAAAAAACAAACATATTTCCCCCTGTAAAATATATTTTCCACCAAAAAGTAATCATGACCACACAACATATCTCCCCAAAGCTATAAAAGTGTTCCTACAGGTTTCTTCAACTTAAATTTAAGTCTGTTTAAGATCTTTCTAAAGCCATATAGAAACTATCAGCAAAAAAATAAAATAAAATTATTGAACTAGTTTTCATTTATTTATCTATATATCTTTACCAATATATTTTGACAAAAGACTGGGTGGGCACTTGGTAGAAGATCGGTTATATTTTTAAACAAATGGTTAAAAATATAACCGGATGTCACGATCCGCCCCTGCCTTCCTGACTGTGTCTCTCTCCTGCCCTGATTAGTCCTTATTGTTCTCACCTGCCCCTCGTTAACCTGCCCATGTGTTCCTAGTTTTCCCTGTGTATTTATACCTCCCTCCTTGTACCAGTCTTCGTCAGATCATTGTGTGTTAGTTGTCAGCGTTGTGTTTGTTCCTGCCGTTCCCGTTCTGTAATTAAAACCGTTTTACTTTATCCGAGCCTGCATCTTTGCCTCCTGAGCTGCTCCACCACACTTGGTCCAACATCTCCACACCCACAACGTGACAGAATGATCTGACCAACCTGGATCTGTGGTGAGCTCTGCTCTGCAACATCTGCCTGGAGGATTTTTTATATATATTTTTTTGCTTTTTCTCTTTTTCAGCGGAGGGAGATTCCAGCCTGAAGTTTTGTGTTTTCGGCGCATCCTACCTGTTCTCGGGGTGGTCGAGCCCTCTGGGAGATCCTGGCTCATCCTATCCGTTTTCGGGGTGGTCGGGGTCATTTCTCCTCTCCTGCTGTTCTGCCCCATCCTGTTTTTTATGGAAGCTGCTTTTCCTGGAGTTTTGTTGGAGGTAAAACCCCTGCGCACGCCAGCGTTCTTCGGAGTGGTAGGGCTGGTCTTCCAGCTCCATGTCTGCTTCCCTTCACCCGAGCCTCTGCCTGTGATCCAGCGAATCGGGATGTGCACCTGCTCAGACCCTATGTCGAGTACCTGCTGCCGAGCTGGGTTTCCTCGCGTCACTCCTACAGTACACTGCTTCCTGGTTCATGCCTGCGAGGTCTGTGCCTGCAGGTCCTTCATGCTACAGTCTCTGCTGGGTCCTACGCCTGCTGCTGCAGTTCCTACTGGGTCCCACCCCGGCTGTTGCTGTTTCCAGGTCCCGTTCCTCTTTCTGTTCGTGTCAAGTGTTCCTGTTTCAAGTCAAGTGTTCCTGTTTCAAGTCAAGTGTTCCTGTGTTTCAAGTCAAGAGTTCCAGTGTGTCAAGTCAAGAGTTCGTGTTCCCAAGTCCAAGTTTCCTGGTCCTAGCTCAAGAGACCCTTGTAAGCCGGAGTTGTGCCACCTAACTGAGAGGCCCCTGCTCTGCGGCCCTGGTCTGAGCTCTGGGAAACTATTGGACCATTCCCATCTGTACCAGGTTGGCCCGGGCTGGGTAGCCCCAGTCGGCCCCAGCCTGGCCCGGTTGATTCCACACATCCTTGTCTTAAGCCCATGTGGGCTGATTCTACCCACCAATCAGAGGCTTGCTCTAATGGAAGGTGTGAATTTTCTGTCAGCAGTGGGTGTGTTGGCCCTGGTCGGCCTGAAGCAGACCCCCTCGAGAAGAGGGCTGAGAATGAGCCTTGGTTGGCCCGGAAATATACCAGGCCACCCAGATATGTAAACAACCTACGCTACCCGGCCCAGACCGACCCAGTACAGATGGGAATGACCCATATGTAAGTCAGAGTTGTGCCGCCTAATCAAGAGGCCCCTGCTCTGCAGCCCCGGACTGAGTTGAGTGTTCGAGTTCCCCGAGTTGAGTGTTCGAGTTCCCCGAGTCGAGTGTTTGAGTTCCCCGAGTCGAGTGTTCGAGTTCCCCGAGTCGAGTGTTCGAGTTCCCAGAGTCGAGTGTTCGAGTCCCCCGAGTCGAGTGTTGGAGTCCCCCGAGTCAAGTGTTCCCGTATCTCCTGTGTTATGTGGCCTTGTGGGCGTCTGGTATCCGCCCCGTAAGGGGGGAGGGGGTACTCTCACGTTCTGCCCCTGCCTTCCTTACTGTGTGTCTCTCCTGCCCTGATTAGCCCTTATTGTTCTCACTTGCCCCTCGTTAACCTGCCCATCCCAGCGTGACACATGATGGCTGCTGAATATCATATTTATCTGCTGCTGTTCTGTCCCAGAAGAAGGACACTTCAAGTTTCACAATAATAATTTTAAATAATAATTTTAATAAACTCTTTGACTTTATTACTGTTATTATAATCATCATAATTAATCTCTTGGTTCAGTAAATGTATTTTAATTACTGAAATGAATTATTATGCTTTGGGTATAATATTGATTATGGTTGATAATCGGTAATTTGTGTTCAGTAAACCAGAAGGTCAACTTCCACCTTATCCATCCAACACAGAGCTTATCCAGACTAAAGGTAATCTGCCATCACATGTCTTTGACTCATGACCAAAGCTTTCTTGCTGAGAGAGAGTGTGTTCTAAGGGGTTTGTTAAAACTAACTTTCCACTAGCTTTAACTTCAGTTCGTGAACCAACCACTATCACTGAGGATAACCCCCAAATTCCACTACCTCCGCTCCGCTCCTCTCCGCTCCGCCCCCGCCTTCCGCAGCCGCTCGCTTCCGAACTCAATTTTTACTGGTACCCGCTCTACAACGGCTCCGCTCCGGTGCGGAGACCTGAGGGGGCAAACAAGCATGCGCGGGATTTTCGAGATCTTGCGATACAGTCCGAGCAATAAACGCGGAAGTTAGATCCAAACACCCGTTGTGTGGGAGAAGCATTGGCATGAGCTGTTTAATCTGCCCATCTTTTGTGTTGAGAGATCAGCAGTGTTTGGATCAACAAAGGGTGACTACTTTGATAGTAGAAACAGTATTTATGGCTTACTTTTGTGCTCTTTTAAACTTCAGCCGCCATTGATAGTTGTTAAAAGTTGTTAAACCTGTGCATATGAAACAAAAAACGCCTTTTGTTTATCGATTTATTGTGAAAAACGGAAATTATGCTTGCTCCTTTTCCTGTTGGGCCGTTGTGATTTCTGTCCATTGACTGCGGAGGTGCTCCGGCGTCTGGCGAAAATAGGATCGATTCTATTTTTGCCGGACGCCGGAACAGAGGGCGGCGCACGGCACCGCACTGCCGGAGCACGGCCGCAGTAGTGGAATTGCTCTGATTGACTACAACGGGACCGATTTTGCTCCGGCGTTCGTGTCGGAGCGGAGCGGAGGTAGTGGAATTTGGGGGTTAGGGAACGGCCGCCCTGAAGCCTCCACCTGCTGTTCTGTCACGCTGATAGAATAGCTTCGAATAAACGTATGATAACCAGCTGACGCAAAGCTCCTTCAGAGTTAT